ATTTGCCAATTACTGCAAATGATTTTTCTCAAGCAATACAAAATACATCACCATCGGTTTCCTACTCTGATGTGCAGAAGTATGAGAAATGGATACATGATTTTGGTGCGGCATGAAAGTTTTATATAGTAGATTAAAGTGAAGCTTGTTATCGGAACATGAAAATATTTAACTTATTTTTTTTAAAAAAAAGGAAAAAAACTGTAATGAATGAAATGCTTCTAGTTCTAACTGTATCGTTTCTATTTTTATATCTTTTTGTACTATATGTTTTGTGCCATTTTTGATTCATTTTTGATTTTCTCATTTTTGGAAATAAGTACTAGTGCTGTAACTTGTATAAATGTTGTTGAAATGTATGTTATTTCTCCAGAAAATAATGCTCATTAAGATTTGGGAATGTCTTTTCACGTTTTATGTTTGGTACTGCGATACAGTGTTGTTAGGTTACTTATTTTCGTCATTTTTTTCATTGTCATTGGCGCACTCAGTGTTTGGCAATAAATGACAATAAACTTTATCATCGACGTTTTATTAATTTCAAATTATGCCGATTATATTCGTCATCCGTCTGCTCTTTTTGTAAGCTTTCGGTCTGATGGTGTGAACTGCTTTTATAAGCTCTCTGTGGACTTTTTCTTTTTCAGCATAATTTTACTTTTTACTCATAGTGCTGATGTATGGAAATGGAAATTCCTAGCTCCAATCAATCAGGTTTGCTTTGATACTGGTTTCGTTGTATTTTCTCTGGAACAATTTTTGTCTAACTCGTATATCTGCAGCTCTAAAGTTAGGAATACACGAATTAATTTCGCTCTAGAATTACCAACGTTGTACAGATACGGATATCTTATAGGAGCGTTACTAAACTCGAGATTGATTATCAGCCGGAAACGTCAAGAAGGAAATCCAGTTCTGAAGTATATACGCAATGTGCCGTTCGAATGGGCTGAAATAAAAGTTTCTTTTTCTGTTGTTTTGCTAATGAGTGAAGTATAGACTTTTTGACTGTTTTAAGCAAAAGTTCAAATTCCAGGCTGATTTTGAAGCTGGTAAAGAAATGGGCATTTTGTACCTCAGTTTAAAATGGCATAAGCTTCACCCGAATTATATAGAAACTCGCATAAACAGTGATGGTGCTGGGTATGCAATAAAGGTATGATCCAAAGGGAATTGATTAGCAGTATTATTTTTTTGCAATTTTTTGTTACGAGGATATTACAAGATATTCATCTTTTATTTAAATTAAACCTTCAATACAAACTGGAACTGCAAGTGATCAATCAATTTTCACGAAGTTCGTGATTATATAATTTAGGACATGAGTTTTTTCAGATTTTATTAGTGCTTGTGAATGTGGAACCACGTCATATTTTACGCGAACTAAATCTCTTTTGTTATCGAACCGGTTGGACGCTTATGCTCTGTTATTCCGCTGAAGAAGCTGCAGAATACTTGGAAAATTTACATATTTCGAGGAACAGGAATGAACAAAGCGCTATTAATGCAATGCAAGAACGAAAAAAAAAACGGCTTTGCTTGCCAGATGAAGACAATGAATTTCATCAGGTAATTCATCAATCTATATTTAAGATGTTGCTGGATAAGTTATTCTTTAGGAGATAGTTGCTGCTGTAAAATTGTTCTAGAGTTTAGCAACAGTACGAACCATGTCAACAAACTAGTTTTTTATCTTTCTTCTTTGTACTTGCATAGTGTCCTACATATCTCGAGTGAACTCTCTGCTATAATTATATAGCACTTAAAATATCATATTGCTCAAAGCTTCGGTATTGAAAATGAGAATCTACCTGCTTTCTGAACTTTTTTGAAGGTCATTGTCTCACTTTTTAGGCGGTCAAATTCCTTACTGTTATTCGGTCATTGACAGTATCTGATGCTCAGCGTTTGATTGCTACGTTTGGTAGTATCCGGAAAATAGCGAATGCGGATATTGATAGGCTGCTGTTATGTCCTGGCTTAGGTCCTACAAAAGCAGGAAATATACATGCATTCTTTCGGTCATCTTTTCAGAAGGCTTAAAGCCGAGCTTTTTCACTTGTTATGTAAATTATTGAATTAAATCATATAAAAGTTGAACTTATAATAGTATGTTACAGTGTAGCATTTATAGCTGAAAAGGGTACTATTTCTTTCATGCATTACAATCAGATAATGTGTATTGTATTTATAGAGGAAGTTTGAAAATGTAGTACAGTAGAAATTTCACATTCGATTTTGTTTTCTGCTTCGTGCTAGGACAATTGAGATTTATGTAATTGTTATTAAATGTCAAAGTGTCAAATGAATTTCGATAATGGTTTTTTGTGCTACTTTTTTGATCCGTTTAGCAACGGTTTCTTTTTCAGATAATTTTTAAAAAAGTTTTGTTTGAAATGTAACAGATAACTATATAAAATTTTCTCTTACTTAATTTGTTTTTATTTCTAACTCCTTTTGGAAGATTATATATATATATATATGGCTTTACTTTTATTTGAAAATTGTTCTTGACTGCTATGGAGATCATTTTTCTCTAGCTTCCGCTTTTTTAAAAAAAGTGTTGCATAAGCTATTTTGACTACCAAAAACGATGAATGATGTCCCTGAAAATGCGAACGAAGATTGCCCCGGCGCAACATCCGCGGATGCAGGGAAGGTGATTCATGGTTTTGCTTCATTCTTTAGCTTTTCAATAGGATACACAGTGACTTCCTTGTTTCACTTTTTTTTTTTAATGTTGGCATGTTGACATTCTTATATTCACATTATTTCATTACTCGTTTCTTTTCTCCAGTTAATTTGATAAAAATTTTCCAAATTTCGACCAATTGAACTTTTTTTTTCAGATAATAAGCCTAAGATAAATAAATTTTCGCTGCTTAGCAGTCCCATATGGAACGTAATTTTGAAATTTCTAATAATTTATTTGCAATTATTTGTGAGAGTTGCAGGCTTTTTCTTGTACTGGCTGTCCGAACCAGACACTGTGTGCGTCTGGTGAAATAAGAAAACCAGATAGTGATCTTTTGGCAGTTACAGATCGTTTGAAAAATGTTAGACACAAGATCCTAATACTTTCTGGAAAGGGTGGTGTTGGAAAAAGTGCTGTAGCTGCTAATTTGGCTAGAGCTCTGGCAGTGGATGATAAAATACAGGTAAGAGTGTAATCTTAAAATGAAATCGATTTTTTTTTTTCATGTTGGTTTGTGCCGATGCAGACAGTTGTTGTTATCAAAGTACCTTAATGAGTAGGTCTTGATGTTTGCACTTATTTTTGTTGTAGAGGAAGTTCAAAAAATCAAACGTAATCGTTGTAGAACATCGCATGTGGTTTATATTTTTAACACTTTCAATAATTTAAACTTCAAATCTCTCAAGGTTGGACTTTTGGATATAGACATTTGCGGACCATCACAAGCGCGGATGCTGGGCGTTGAACAAGAAAGCGTTCATGAGAGTGGTGATGGTTGGTGTCCTATTGTTGTAAAAGATAATCTTATAGTAATGAGCATTGCATTCTTATTGCAAGATAGATCCGAAGCAGTTATTTGGCGAGGAGCGCGGAAAAATGCTTTGATAAAGCAATTTTTAAAGGTTAACTTCTTGTTCATGTCTTCATCTGTTATTCTTTATGGTGCAGTATCATCACTCAGTTCAGATTTAGGAAACTTCAGTTTAGAAAAAAGTCAATTCAACACAGAAGAGAAATGTGTACCTTAGATTTACATATCTAGTTTTGATTTTTCAGAATTTTAGGATAATGAAAAGTCAGTCTTGTCGTGATTTTTTCTGGACTTAATCATAATGATGTATGATTCCAAAAACAATAAGGCTTTTTTTTTTAAGTGTAATTAATCTGATCATGAAGTATGTTCATTCCTTCGTGAAAAGTTTGTATTCAGAACAAAGTATATTCTTTCACTGGACAGGAAACGAGTACCGCCGTGTCATGACATTTAAATTTAGGATGTAGACTGGGGAAGTTTGGATTACTTGTTGATCGATACACCTCCCGGCACCTCGGACGAGCATATCTCCATTGTTCAATTTCTTCTACAAGCAGGTTCTGTAGATGGTGCGATTATAGTAACCACACCTCAAGAAATATCATTACTTGATGTCCGCAAAGAAGTTAGTGTTTTCCTTATCTTTGATATTATATTTTCTGCACAAAATTTATTCGACATGTTTGTATGTTTGCCGATATTTGAAACCATATTTTTTCATTTTTTTTTAGATTAATTTCTGTCGGAGAACAAAAATTAATATATTGGGAATAGTCGAAAACATGTCTTCATTCATTTGTCCCTGTTGTTCGAACGTTTCACAACTTTTTCCACGTACAACTGGTGGTGCAGAAATGATGTGCAGTGAATTATCAGTCCCTTTACTTGCTTTATTGCCTTTCGATAGCCACATGGCTAAGTGTGCTGATTCAGGAGAGGATTACTTTGAAAAATATCACAATTCTGCTCTAGCTAAAGAATTTGAAAAACTTGCGCAACTCATCTCTAAATGACGATTAAGATATTTTACGCAAACACTGGAAATGAATATGAATTTTTCATTAAAAGTCGTTATTGAAAGAAAAGTTAGGGAACTGCGTTTCCGATTCTGATCAGGGACATGTTGTTTATCGCGTTTAATTTGTTTTTTATTTTTGCGATGTTGTAAGATGTGGCATAAAATTTTCATTCTGTTCATTTCTAATTTTTATGAGCAGACAAAGTGCTTAATTCAAATATAGGTTAGCTTTACTTGAATTTCATGGGTTTATTTTAAACCGAAACGAATCAAAGAGTTTAAAATTTAAGGAATCTATGTGGGAAATACTTTGAACTTGAATTATAAAATGTGTACTGCACATGTTGCATATTACGGTTTTTATAATGTTAGCACTCATTAATACATTTTGTGAACGTATTTTTGTAAGCATCATTACGCTTGGATTGGGATTGAAATATTTGAGTTGTACTCTCACAATACTTTCAGATTTGATGAAACGAGTTGTGATAACAGGTATAGGTATTGTAAGTCCATTTGGTGTTGGTAAAAGACTTCTCTTTGACAATTTATTAGCTAACAATGTTGCACTTCGAAGTGATGAAAAGCTTAGAATAATTGTGGGACGAATTCCGGAATGTGGGAAATATGGACTTGACTTGAGTCTGTGGACTCCTCGAGAGTTGAAACAAATGAGCAGAGGTAATTCTTATTGGTGTTTCCCACTGGGCCGTATAGTGAAGTCATGCATTTTCAAAAATTGGTTAGGACTCATTTTTAGCCGGTTGTGGCTTAGAATTTCTTATCTGCTTTATAACAAACGATTTACTTTATTCTAGGTAGTGTGATAGCGATAGTTGCAGCAGAAGAGGCGGTGAAAGATGCTGGTTTAAAGGGATGTCACATGGAAGAAACTGGTGTTAATATTGGGATGGGGATAGCTGATCTGGAGGTAATTTATGAAGTTGGTAAACAAATTGCAGAAGATAAAGGACGTCGAGTAACACCTTTTTTTATACCACGTATACTGACCAACATGCCAGCAGGGCATGTAAGTATCAAGTAGGTTCATGAAATTGTTTTTTTCTAAAACAATACTATTGAATTTGATTACTTGAGTAACTTATAACTCTCATGGAAATGGCTCATTATTTTATCTTGTGCAAAAAAACATTCATAACATTCATTTACAGATTTGGTATGCGTGGACCGCAATTAAGCTCCTGTACTGCGTGCGCAACAGGTTTGCATAGTGTTGGTGATTCAGCCACATTCATTAAGATGGGTCGAGCGAAACGCATGCTTGCAGGTTCTACCGAAGCATGCATCAATAATATAGCAATAACAGGATTCAGTCAGATGAGGTTTCCATTTTACTCTATTGACTATATCTGATTAACCTATTCAAACTCCTCCCTTGCCCCGAAGTAGTGCATATATATACTCATATGCAAGTGTTTGAAAACATGTCATCTTTTTTCATATTTTCGTGCTGTTTTTTCTTTACTGAGATCTTTAATTGTGGTCTTATAGCAGTACTACTTTCTTTCCTGTTTCGAAATAAATTTGTTAAGTGGATTTTGGTGTTTTTGCTAACTAAAATTTAGAGCATTAACTATGACTTGTTCACGGCCATTTGACAAACGGCGTGATGGATTCGTGTTGAGTGAAGGTGCTGCAATTTTGGTTTTGGAAGAAATGGAAGAAGCACTTAAACGGAAAGCGAATATCTATGCTGAAATTATAGGATACGGTGAGCTATTTTTTAGTTAATAAATTAAGGATTAAATTGCATTGCAACAACCTTTTGAACAACCGTGATTTACATTTTGCTATGGTAGTGAACTTTTTGAAATCATCCATAATCAAAATGAGATTCATCTGGAAAAACGTCATATGTTGACCAACATGTGAGAAGATATGAGACCTGCTGATTTTTTAACGTTTAAGGTGTCGCGAGCGATGCTTATCATCTAACGACCCCATCAGAAGATGGGATCGGAGCTTTTTTAAGTATGGAACGATGCTTGGCTGACTCATGTATCAATTCAGAACAAGTTACTTACGTGAATGCCCACGCAACTTCAACAGTACTTGGTGATCATTCCGAATCACGAGCTATTGCTCGTCTTTTACCTGGCGTTTCAATTTCGTCAATTAAAGATTGGTTACACTTCTTATTATTGAACTTCATTGAATTTATATGCATAGATTTACTGCAGATATGTAACCTTTAAATGTTACTTTAAAATATCAAGACAAGATGGAAACAAATTTCGTAAATGTATTTCATAAACATTTCCATTATCTCTGAAATCAATTTTAAAAAGAGTTTTATAGTGGTAAATTTCACTGTTCTGTCGACTGAATTTGCACATTACAGGTCATATAGGTCACACTCTCGCCGCAGCTGGTGCTATTGAAACCGCTATCACAGCAATGTGTATTGAAGAAGGAAAATTAGTGGGAAATGCTAAACTGGAAGAAAGCGATATAAAAGAGAATTTACACTTTCTTAAAAAATCAGAAAGGTGGAATAAGGAACGAGTGGCCTTGGTGAACTCTTTTGGTTTTGGTGGGTCACATGCTACCTTGTGTCTATCATCAGTGGAAAATTCTTACTAGTAATTATGAGTATTAAGAAGTTTTGAAATTAGTGCATTGAAATGTTGAGTTTTATTATTTCGAAATTCATTCTGACTTGCGATTTAATGGTCCTGCAGTTTGACCGAGTAGAAAAGTAATATTTTTTTGCCTTACATAATGTGTCAGAGTGTCTAGTCTCAGGAGACCAAACTAAAGCAGTCTTTTTTTTCTTAAAAAACTCTTTTTTTTTCATTTTGCATTGCATTTTTCGAAAGAAATTCATTCGAAGCAAAACATGTGTAGATAAGTAGCTTCTAGATAATTAGTGAAGATAATTGAGCGTTTTCTTATCTATTACAGCATTTAAACCGAACAATTTAAACTGCGAAATAGGGAAAGAAAATTATAGCTTCCCTACCATTGATGTAACTGTGATGACTCTTTGTACACAGAGAAAAAGATGCGGACTGATGGCAAACATGGTCACCTTTATTTTTGGAATTTGGTTCTGAAAAAAAAATAGTATCAGAAACGGTTTAATTTCCTAGCTTTAAAATGACTTTGAAAATTTTTATGGAAAATATTTTTATTATCTAATTTTTAAATCAATCATTTTGATAAAAAGATTTACCAGTAGTTCGATAAATAATAAGAGTGACTCTTCATTTTGATTACAGACAACTCGTTTCATGATTCATGAAACCATAAATGTACGTGCATATATACTCAGATAAGATTAAGAATATAAATTTATACGAACAGTAGGTTATGTTTAAAACAGTTTATCATTGACCCAATATTAGTTTAATGTTCACCATCCAATTTGTGTTAACAGTCTTACCCAAGTATTAAAAATCATTTATAGTATCATGTGCCTTAAGAACAATTTCCTTTTAAGATATTTCGTTATTTTCTTATGTTTGCTTTGGATTTAAAAATGAATTGCAGATTTTAAAATTGCCATAATAGCCGCTGGGATTTAAAAATGAATTGGAGATTTTCTAAAATTGGCACAATAGCCGCTGTGCTCTTACCATTAATGGTGCATATATGCTCGGAAATTTTGGAATCACATTAAATTACGTTGACCACTGATTGTTTTTCCATCAAATACAGCAGTGGTCATTGAATATATTTGTTTCATTTGAAATGTTAGGAATAATAATAATCAGGGAAATATAATACACATTTTTTCCTAAATTTCCCAGTTTGCATTTCATACCGACAACTGATGCCATTCAGCAATCTGTCGTCGTGGATTACTCCGTACCTGAAGCCAGTGCTTATCATTGGGTCCAATAAAACATTTACCCATCACCTGAAAAAAAAGTCTCAAATCAAACATGTAGTTTGATCTAACTTCAATTACAAAAAGAAAAAGATTAAAGACATGTTTGTTTCATATGCAGGATTTATTGATTTATAAATAATATACACTGTAATCTGATATTAAAAAGTAGAAGAATCCAAAGCTATCTTCTACACCTTGAAATTATGCATTCTTTCATCAGTAATTTGAGTCACACTGTCGAAACAGAGTTTAAGATACCTCGTTTTTTGTCAGACGATCCCAGTCCATAACCACAATTTCAAATTTAATATTATCCAAATCTTGTTCTTCGCTACACGGGAACTCGAAAACAAACGATTCATTGTAAACCGGTGATAACGTACATTTTTTCACATGACTTTTCCTCTTAGAAATTCGCTGCTCTTTATACAGTAAATAAATTTTAACGTATGGGTCTGAAATTTAAATAAAAAAGGTAAGAAATTTTAAAGAAATGTTATGAAGCTAAAAGTGAACTAGATAGCAAATGATGCGAGGATTAAGAAATGGTAAGGGATATTTCGAATTACGTAAATTTATGGTATAATATGCAATATGTTAGAAGAAGGAATACTGCCAGTCTTCAAAAATTGATAATAGTCAAGAAATAAGTGGATATATGAATAAGTAAAAAGTAACCTGAATAAATAAACTATCAAAAAAATTGTTTAAGAACTGAGCTTACCAGCCATTCCACTGACATCCAGTTTTGGCAAACCTTTTACTTTAAGCAATACAACTGTAATTCTATGTGTAGTTGGCTGATAGCACAATGACAACAGTACTTGTCCCCGATTATCATTATTTGCATCCTTTCCACGACCTTCTAGTTTCAATTCTACGGTGATAATCTCACTGTTCAACAAATTTGCATCTTTTAGTGAATATACTGCTTCACCTAACAGTGTATCTCGACTGTAACGATCAAATGCAATCACCTAAAATGTGTCATAAATTTGGAAAAAGTATGAAGGAAAAGTGCTTGTCGTAAAGATGGCAAATAAATCAAAGCAAGCCAGTAAAACAGATATTCATGAAAAATGATCAATTCCAAGAAAAAGTAAAGCCTACTGATTGTTTCGTAACACTAACCTTAATGTTTCTAAATTAATTAAAGTCTTCCTTACCGCAAAATGTATACTGGTTGTAGCGAGTTGTAATGCATCCAACCCATACATGGAAAATGTTTCATCATACTGCGGATTTCTAGATGCACGAACAAGACGAGTCTTAACATGATGTTCTTTCTCGGGTAATAACTGAAGTTTGACATATGGTTCTAGAAGACACTGACCACCGGATGCCACTACTAATTCTGGTAAATCCCGACAACATATTATATTAACCTGTAAGCAGCTTGAATTACTTGAATAAGACTCATACCAGCAAGGGTTTAATAGAATATATTGGAAAATATAGAGACATTCTTCAACCAATATTTTCTCAAGTGCATCATCTCATTAATGAAGTTTAAAGACATTTATTTGTGTTTGACGCCTAGTGATCTTCAGTTCTCTACAATTGAGAACAAATGGCCAGTCGATATGTTTGTCCTGCACTAGGTCATAAATCATTATATCCTAATCACTTAGTCTCAGCTATTTACCTGTAATGTTGAATTCTCAATGGTATAATGAAGGGTGAAGTTGATAAATCCTCGATCTGGTCCCAGTTCAGAAGAAGACAAACGACTCAACGGCTGTGATGGAATAATGGATGATTGAGTTGTTGGTATGACAGGACTAGATGTCGAGCTATCAGAGGAAAACGGTGACGAGAGCGATGACGGTGAGTTTTTCAGACCTCTCGGACCCTTTTCACTCTCATATTTTAAGGCAACAGCAATGCGCTGTTCAATTAAAACATTACGTCTCTTAAAACTGGCGTATCGTTGCCGTCGAAGGATGCATACCGACAAAATTGCTAAGTATGCAAAGCCAGCTCCACCGATTATTAAATACAGGATCACATCTATAATAAGTATATTTGGTGAAGAAAAATGAGAGACCACTATTGTTGTACAATTTGATGGATAAATCAATGAGTGTTGTGCAATTAAATATGAATGGAAATTAATCACTTTTTTCACTATTTAATATGTTATTTATAATTTTTTATTCATCTTTTAGCATAATATTCACAGTTTTTGATAGCGTTCGTAATCTTTATTCAGTAAGACAAAAAAGAATTGTCTTTTCTCTTTATATTTTGTTCTTATCCTTTTTCTTTACCCAAATTTGTAAATTCGATAAAGCAAACAAAATTGAAAATTGCCAAAAGAGAATATTCTTTCCACTTTGTGAATTCTTAATTGAGGTTTAGATGAATATTTTTCTTGGAAGTGCATAAAATTCATGATAAGTTAGACGGTTCAACATCCCTGTCTCTTACATGTTCATTAGTTACTGTAATCTTAAAACACTTCTGTGACATATGATTGAATGATAAATGAGAGAGTTGTTTGTATCTTTCAACTGTTGAGTAGAAATTATAAATTGTAATTTTATACTAATATCAAAATGATATTAGTATAACAGAATATTTCATCATGTTTTCATGTTTTGTATTTTTAAATACCTGATTTGTCAAGTATTTTTTCCTTTTCAAAAAAGTAACTTACTGGAAGAAAAGTAGAAAGCAGTTGACGGCTTGACTACGACCATCCCACAACCACAGGAGAGGCCCAACAAGACAGAAGAGGCCTTTGTTTCATCCTCTTGAATCCTCTCTGCTAGGCCCAGAGGCTGTATTGATTTTGCAATCAATTCTGTGCATTTCCTAGCCTGAAATGACGTCATTTTAAAAAGTCCACACACCCATCCAGTTTTACCTTCACAAATTCCCAAGGCATAGTATGCTGTAAGTCGAAAGTACATTTAAAATTAAAAACTACTTATCTAAATGTCACCTCCGTAACACATAAATGAAACCTTTACAGTTCCTAATATGGAACTTCAAACACTACTAATTTTGACTTTTTTTTTTATTTGATTTGTTACGAGCTGTCGGTGAAAGCAAAAAAGCCTGCTAAGTTGAAATGTAAACTGCTTGAAATGTTAATTTCTAAGTTGAATAATTGGTATCAATTATCTTCGTCCTTGTCCTTTTGTAAACTTTCATGGCAAAACTCAGCAGTAGAAATGGAAATATATGAGAGAGGGAGAAAACTAGAGTTCTACACTGTTCTCACTAACAAAGACTTGCATCAAGATCACTCTCCTTTAATTGTTAACCAATGAGTTAATCAAAACTGTGATTGAATGTTTGACAAAAAGTAGTAAAAAGGTTAATGAGTGAGTTGTGAGTTACGCTTTTGAAAAACCAAGCTACTCATATATATAAAAAAACTAAGCTATCTACTCATATTTCAAATGATCAAACAAATAGTTTTAAGACAGTGAAAAAAGGCCCTGACATTAAATATTCCTCTTGCCGATTGATCTCAATTTTAAAATTTTATCTTTATTTCTATCGAATATCTTCAAGCGAAAGCAGCATAAATTTTGCTCATATGTACAACCAAAGTTGCTCATACAGTTTGAAATGTTTTTTGGAGGATGACCAAAAAAGATATTTCATTTGCCAGTGGAACTTCAAATCTTCCATACATTTTGCTGGTATTAGACTTTTGTGGTGATTCAGCGAGGATACAGTAAAGAGTAGTGTTCTATAGCTTTAAAGACATGATTCTTTGTATCAATTTTTATCC